GTCAGCTCTTTTTAAAATCATGGCTTCCATGCCATGGAAGCTGCTAGGTGCTTAGTTTTATTAAAACTTGCCCACCAGTAGATGCTGTTGAGCACAAAAATTGTAGTTATATGCTAGCTTAGCCTTTTGTACACGAAAGCACTCAACTTGAATGCTTCCAGATCTTCAGTTTTAAGTTGTCAGTCTTTCTCCTACCTATTCCTCTGTTCACATGTGTTTCTTATGCACACTGGTGAATCATCCTCCCCTGACATTCACTTACTCTTCAGCCCTCCTTAATCTCACCGATTCATAAAAGTTTAGGGCTGGAAGGGACCTTGTGAGATCATCGGGCCTAGCCCCACCTACCCTGGGCAGGAAAGACTGCTGGGGTCAAATAACCCCAGCAAGGTGTGCATCCAGTCTCCTTTTGAAGATCTCAATACCCTAACTTGTACCCATCTGTTCAGTCAGTCTTGTTCGTCCTATCAGTTATCCCCTACACACAACATATATCAATTTTCTTTTCTAAATTCATATGTACTTCTCCTTTCCTATCCAGTCTGTTACCTCCAGGGATCCTACTTTTGCCTGGTAAAAAAAAAAAAAAAATCACAAATTCTCTGATTAAAAAACCCCCAAATCCATGATTAAAGTAAAAGCCCCTCCCACAGCCCCCCCTGGCCTGGTGGTGCCCCTCGCTCCTGTCCCCTCAGCCCTACTGGTACCCCTCACCCCCCACCCGCAGCTCCTGCTCCCCTAGCCCTGCTGGAGGGGGCTCCCAGCTGACAGGCCTATGGAGCCAGAGGCCCAGGTCCACAGCCCCCTGCCCCTGGCAGGAGGCGGCAGCAGCAGCACAGGGTTGTGCTCAGGGGGCACGGGCAGCATGGAGCTCTCAGCAGCAGGCAGCTTCCTGTGCAGCTCTGCCGTTCCCTGCAGCACCGGGGTGGTACATGCTGGGCTGCGGAGTCTCCAGGGAAGGGAGCATGAGCCTGAAGCAGTCAGTGCACAGCCCTGCCTGGCATGTACATATGGTCCCCCCGGGAGCGTGCGCGGTGGCAGGGAGCAGCCTGCCCTGCCTCCACCCCACATGTACACTGGCTGTTCCAGTTGCCATGCCACTTCCTCAGTGCCTATAGAACAGGTGGGCAAAGTCTGGCCTGTGGGCCAACTGGCAGTTGGGCTCTTTCCCAGCAGCCCCTGCCCATATGGCTGGGGCCGGTCTCCATGGACACCCCAGCTACAGCTGCGCTGTGATAGCGCCAGGCTGGTGTTGCCATGGAGACTGGCCTCAGCCACACTGGCAAGGCAGAGCCATGATCCACAGCCTGCATGCTCCAGGCAGAGGCGCGCAAGCAGTGGATCGTGGGTCTGTCCCAGCTCAGGATCACGCTGTCACCACTGCAAGGAGCTGGGGCAGAGCTGCGATCTGCTGCCTGTGCATCCTGCTTGGAGCTTGCAGGCTGTAGATTGCAACTCTGCCATGGCCCTGGACCAAGCTGCCCCTGCCACAAAATCCCAGCAGCTCCGGAGCAGCCCCTTGCCCTGCCCTGCCGCATGCCCTGCTACTGTGGCTGGGGCAAGTCTCTGTGGCAACACCAACCTTGCTCTCGCAGCACAGTTGCAGCTGGGGTGTCCATGGAGACCCACCCCAGCCATGCGTGCAGGGGCTGCTGGAAAATGGAGTTTGGCTGCCAGCCAGATCCACCATTTTGTCCATCCCTGCTATAAAAGAAGAAAAAAGTTCTGTTATACTACTTCACACACTTGATGGAGGTAACCAGGACTGCTGATATCTCTGACCCTGCCAGGGAGGAGGATAGAGAAGAAGAAATTTCATTTTTTCCTTTTTAACCATAAAGAACTGGGTGGGAGAAAGGCGCCATACATAGGTTTGAGAAGCCCCACTTGCCAGGCCTTGGTACAATACAAACCAGCTTGAGAAAACAAGGTTACATATTTCTAAGTAAATAAACTACAAAAATAAATAGAACATTACAAATATTGATGCTGCAGCTGGTATAAGAGCATCTGCTGCCAAACACAGTTGGGAGGAGGTGGAAAAGAAGCTGCTGTTTCTTAGTTAAGCAGCAGAGTAAGTGGAGGAGATGTAATAAATATGTATATAAACATATTGAGCAGATTGTAGTTCCTCAGTTTCATTTGAGCCTGAAAAAAATATTTTAAATGTTTACTAGTTTATACCATTTAAAATATATGAAAATTTATTGTTATAACATTTCCCTTAAATGTGAGCTGTTTGCTAACGAAGCTTGTAAAAAGAAATATAGCACCCTTCTTCTCCCCCCCCCCAAAAAAAAAAAACCCCAAAACAAAATAACTTACTTTGCATAAGCACCTTAAAGATTATATTAGACATAAAGGAATTGATTGTTACAGTCAAGTATGGATAATTTCCTGCTCTTAATGGGTAATTACTTAAATGCCTATAATAGTTCAAAATGTTCATTTTTAACATAATCAAGAAACAGTCTAAAGCTTTAAAATGTGTGTTGTAATATTTGAAAAGGCATACTGTCTGAGCAAACAAAGTACTTAATTTTCTTTATTTTCTGTAGGACAACAAAAGTCATCGTAGGAAAAGGAAGAAGACTGATCGTGATGATGGGCCTTTATCATCCGAGTCCTTATCAGAATCAGATCATACAGAGGAGGTCAGTGTAGGGGGGGAAAAAACCTACACTCCAGATAACAAAAAATAGTAACTGGCTGTTTAGTAACAGCCCTCATTAAGTCCTGTTCATTGCAATTCTTGCCATTCAGATTATTTTGAATAATTTTGCTTTAGTTAAAATCTGTTTCTGACTTCTAACTGTTAAACAACTGTTTCTGAATACCATTGGATTCAGTAATCTCATGCTAGGTGTTTGACATTAAATCAGTTAAAACAGTGATTGTCAACTGGGGGTACACATACTCCAAGGGGTACTTTAAAAAGTCATAGGGGACATGCAGAACAAATGAGAAAAAATTACTAGATGCACACTGATATATCGGTCCCATTTTGGATGGGCACCGATTATAAGGAAAAATGACAGTATCGGCAATTGGCTTTTTTTGGCTGATATGGCAGATAATGTGGTCAAAAAATGCCCTGTGCATGCGCTCAACCACAGTGCAGCATGCAGGCAGTCAGAACTGTAGCCTGGCAGTGTGGACAGCAGCCAGATCCGGCTGGTAAGTCTGTTGTGAGGGAAGCGGCATGAGGGGAGGAAAGATTGAGGCCTCTGTGGTGAGGGAGGGAGTGGGGCTGGGACAGGCAGGGGCTGCATAGCTGGGGCAGGGTGCGGAACGAAGCTGCGGCTTGTCCTGGGGGTGGGGTGGCTTGCACTGCTACATGCACCCCAGAAAGGCATGGGAGGGCACGAGCCCCTAGATCTGCATGTGGGGTGAGGTTGGGCTGCTGCTGTGGGCTGGGGACAGGCACGGCGCCAGGCTCTTCCCGGCGGGGAGGGGCTAGGCCAGGCTGTGCTTGTGGCAGGCAGTGCTAGAAGGGGGAGGTCAGGGGGGCTATAATGAATTTTGGGGTGGCTGCAGCTCTTTCCCCCCCCGTAGTCCCCCTCCTAGTACTGCTGCCACCTGCCCCAAGCACAGCCTGGTTCATCCCTCCTGTCGGGAAGACCCCAGAGCCGCCTCATCCTGCAACAGTAGCCCACCCCTGCCCTGCACAGATCCAGGGGCATGCACCTCCCTGCCCTCCCGGGGCGCACGTAGCAGCAGGAGCCACCTTCCCTCTGCACCCGCCCCAGAGAAGCTGCTTGCAGCTCAGTCCCGTGCTCTGCCCTGGCTGTGCAGCCTCTGCCCCAGCCCCACTCCCTCCCTCACCACTGGGGGCCTCCATCTGCCCCTTCCCCCACAACAGACTTACCAGCCCAAACTGTTGTGGCATAACTCTGATGTATATATTTCATGCATATATTAATAATGCATTTACCGTTAATTAGTGTAGCCTTCTATCACATAATTGGTAGCGTTAAAAACAAGAAAAAATATAAAGGGGTATATGAGCTGAAACTTTGAAAGAGAAGGGGTACACTTTTTTTAAAAGGTTGAAACCCCCTGAGTTAAGAGTCTGTTCTTTCAGTAGTATTCTGGCACAGAACAGGCAGATTTTTAGCTGATTTCTGTTAATGTTATTTATCTCTAGACATTGAGTAAATTTCCAGCATAGCTTAAAAAAAATCAAGAGGGCCAAACTTACTTTATAACTTAAGTAGCTGAAGTTGAGATACTTTTTTTGTATAGAATTCTAGAATATGTGAGGCTATTCAGTCTATTGTGATATTATTAATTTTTTTTATACGCAGTTTAATAATTTTGCAGGCATCCAAATGATGGTTTCCTGCTGTGCTGTTAGACATTAGTAGACAGACATTAAGCTTTTTTTAAAAAGCACTGTGAGAATTCCAGAAACGGGGGTTATAGGGTAGTGCATATTCTAGAAAATAAAACTGGTATCTAGTGTTTCTTCATATGGCTGCAACACTATACTGTATCATATTGTGCCATCATCCATTTGTATGTTCCAAGTTCAAGCTATTTTACTTACTGTTTTTTTTAAAATACTGCTTACCATTAAAGGTTTTTTGGGGATTTATTTTTTAGGTACAAGTAAAAAAGAAAAAAAACAGTGACGAAAGGGAAAAGGCAATGGCAAGTATCTTTTCTGTTAAAGTGATTTTAGGAAATGTCTAAATACTATACATTTACTTATGAATTTCACTTGTATCAGACAGTACAATTTACATCATCAGCACAGTATATGTTATGGTAAATGCTGATCTCATGTACACAAATGTAAATTCAGAAAAACTACTGGCATCTAGAAGTTCCTTTGCCTTTATGTTAATGTAACTGAGAAAAGAATTTGGCCCTGTATTTTATCTGAAGAGATGTTTGGGCAGAAAAGTTATTTTGACTAGATGCTGTAAACATCAAATATATTATTTTTTTTATGTCTACATTATCAACATGGAACTTTAAGCTCCATTGATACATGTGGTATACATCCTGCTTCATAATATGCAGGGTAAATTCTGGGTTGTACTGGTCAGCAGTGCAGAACTAACTGACGAGGAGGAAGGCCAGCAATCAGAATTGCTTTAAGCTACTTCAGCAGCTCTGAAGGCAACCATGCTTTCTGCCCTACCAGCCCTTGGAAGTCAGGCTAATTACACTAGTTAATAATTACCAATTATATTACTAAATAAAACTAACTGCATTGGTTTTCCCCAGCCTACCCTATGAACTGTTCAGTCTCCCCAATGCTACATTAAGAATCCTCATCCTGGCGCATGACTTTGACAGGCTTTAAAGAGGATCCTCTGAAAGGAAGTCACCATTGGCCAGATGAAACATGTTTGGCATCCCTTTAGTGCCTTGTGTCCCTTCTATATAGTTAAAAGGGACTGGAGTCAGGATGAGCATCTCACCCTTGTGGCACATAATAATTTATTTATAAGTATATAATGCATTTTCTTACTGTACAGTTAATAATGTCTGGTTGATTCAGTATATACTCTTTTTCCATGCCTGAAGCTACAAATTTTCTGGATTCAAGCTTCTAGTCAGCCACAAGGCTATTAGAATTGGAGGCTGAGTTTTTTTCTTTGGATGAAACGTATACAGGTAATCCTCAGACTTATGACGCAATTGATTCCTGAAAACGGCGTCTTAAATTGAAACATTGCAACTCGGAGCCAATTTTCCCATAAGAACAATGTTATAAATGGGGGATTGGTTTCTTTACCACGCTCGACACAGCTGCCTCCAGCTGGTTAGTCTGTTGTGGTGGGGGGACAGATCAACGTGCCTGCAACGAAGGAGGGATTGGGGTTGGGGCTGGGGCAAAAGCTGCCCAGCTGGGGTGGCATGGGGAGGGGGTGGGCAGCTCCCGCTGCTGTGGGTCGTCGGTCTGGGAGTTGCTCGTTTGGCAGTTCATCTGGCGGCACTCACTGCTGCTCCCGCCACCAGTCTGGAAGGACATTGGAGGGGCGGGGGGTATGCCTCCGGATCTGCATGGGGCGGGCAGGGCCAAGGCTGCACCAGGCTGCACTCTGGGTGGAAGGCAGAAGGCATTGAGAGCCTGAGCTATGCCCTCCTGCCACTTGCGTAGCTGGGGTGGGACAGAGCCATTGCATTGCCTATGGACAAGCAGTGCGCAGTGGCCAGAGCCACCCCGGCCCCCCTGCGCCTCCTGGACAAACTGCAGCTTTGCCTTGCCCCTACTGGGCATGGGGGGGTGTGCCCCTGGATTGGGGCGTGGCAAGCAAGGTTTATGGGGGGGCTGCAGGCACCCTAAAATTCACCATAGCCCTGGCCCTGCGCAGTTCCAGGGGCACAAGCACCCCAATGTCCTGCCGCCACTGTCCCTGCCAGGGTGGGGCAGGGCCAGGAGGCAGGGGGATCCCAGGACAGCTCCAGCTGCTGCACGCCACTTGTTCGGTGGCAGTGCAGTGGCTCTGCACTGCCCCAGCTGGGTGAGCAGCAGGAGGACACCGCTGGCCCAGAGCACAGCCCCAGCCCTGCCTGCACCACACAGATCTGGGGGCATATGCCCCCCCATGCCCTCCCAGACGGGCAACACACAGTGGCAGGAGCTATCTCACCCCCTCCCTGTGCCGCGCCCCCCCCCGGGCAGCCCCTATCCCAGCCCCAATCCCTCTTTCTCTGTGGGAGCATTGATCTGCCCCACCCACGCCTCACCACAACAGACTTACCAGCTGGAGGCAGCTGTGTCCAGTATCGTAAAGTCAAAACCCTGGGGGGACCTTGAAACTGTTGTAATTTACAACGGTCGTAGGTGCCATTTGTCATAACTCAAACAGTCATAAGTCGAGGACTGCCTGTATAGCATACATTAGGTTACTATCATAGATTCATAGATGCTAGGGTCGGAAGGGACCTCAATAGATCATCAAGTCCGACCCCCAAGATATTGAAGAGTATCGGTCCAAGGACCGAGCCCTGCGGGACCCCACTGCCCACACTCTTCTAGGTCGATACCGACCCATCCACTACGACTCTCTAGGTGCAACCCTCTAGCCAATTTGCCACCCACTGGACTGTGTAGTCATCTAAGTCACAGCCTCTTAACTTGTTTACCAGTATGGTGTGGGATACCTTATCGAAGGCCTTCCCGAAGTCTAAGTATACAACATCAACCCCTACTCCTGCGTCCAGGCATTTTATAACCTGGTCATAAAAAGAGATTAGATTAGTCAGGCATGATCTACCTGCTACAAACCTGTGCTGGTTTCCCCTCAGCATAATTTGTCCTGCCGGACTCTCGCAAATGTGAGCCTTGATAATTTTTTCGAAGACTTTGGCTAGGATGGAGGTGAGACTGACGCCTATAGTTGCCTGGGTCCTCCTTCCTCCCCTTCTTGAAAATGGAGACCACATTGGCCCTTTTCCAGTCCTCCGGGACCTGGCCCGTGCGCCACGAATGTTCAAATATTACCGCCAGTGGTTGTGCAATGACGTCAGCCAGTGCCTTCAGTACCCTCGGATGGAGCTCATCTGGGCCTGCCGACTTAAACGCATCCAGTTCCTCCAAGTGACTCTGCACCATCTCAGGGTCTACGCATGGCAGTCTGGTATCCATAAGCTATGTATCAATGTAGCTTAACGTATTCATCGTTCTTATTGCATAACATAGGACCTGGTCTTGTATGCCTCACTTAGGAAGAATTCCTAATGAAATTCTGCCTAAGTATAGGAGGATTGTTCACTTAACGTTGTATATTATGGTGCTGAGAACACTAACATCAGGGTCTGACCCTGCTGCCTTTGCTTTAGCAACTGTGTTTTTTTTGTCTGAGTTTGTTACCCCAAATTAAGGTGCAAATATTGGAAGTCAAAACTTAATACAGTTTAACTGAGTTTGTCATAAACAGAAAATCAGCTGAAATATAATTAATGAATAAATAGATAATTGTGGTAACATAGGGCTTCTTTTCCACTCTCGCATATGTGAGATGCCATTGTTTCTCAAGTGGTTAGTTTACTGATTTCTCAAATTCATGAAGCATTACTGTGACTTACAAGATAAGGAAGCAAATGGTACTGACTATTTCACACCTCTTGGGAAATCAGAATGAGCTAAATTTGAAAACAATAATATTCCATCTTTTTGTAATGCTTTGCATTGTCTTCTTTCCTGCTTTGTAATGTTATTGTATCATTGATATTTATATTTTTATAGTAATCTTATTGTAAATGATTTTGTATGAAACTCCATAAACGCACCTGTGCCTCTTCATTACATTATTTTTTTAATTGACTTTAACTCATAAAATAACTTCCATTATTTAACTGTTTTTAAGGATAAAACGAAAAAGAGAAAGAAGCACAAGAAACATGGTAAAAAGAAGAAAAAGAAGACTGCTGGTTCAAATTCAGATTCTGAATAACATTTAGAAGTACAAGAATACCTTTTCAACAAAAGTGCAATGACTAAAGGAAACTTCAACTGTGAAATTATAGCAAACTTTACCAAACTGCATGAATTTTCCTGTGTTTTAGAAATACTCCTAATCTCTCAATAGCTGGACAGATGCTGCTGCGCCAGAAAAGACCATTGTTATTGCCTGCTGCTTAATACATGGGGTACAGCATTTTTTTAATTCCAGTAGCCAGCGCTAGATATTTGAAATCATAAAAGATGATGGTTCAGCTGATATGTAAAATATTGGAAAATAAGTGAAACTTTTTAGATACAAAAAGTAGTGTTTTAAACTCTCTAATTTTTAAACCAGCAGAAACATAATCCAGGATTCATCCTGAAGATGAATTTAATTCAATGGAGCTGTTGAAAGTTAGTGACTGATGTTTCTTTTGAAATGGGAATATAATGGTAACATTCTTAAACATGTTACTTTTGTAGAAATGTTTACTGTACTTCTGTCCTTTTTATTTTTTTATGTTGAGGGGGGAGCTACTATTTTGACTAGTTGAATAGGGTGCCTTTGATCTTTCTAAATCCCAGCTACTTTAATCAGTACAGCAACTATGCTTCCTCGGGAGGTCAGAACTACTGTCAGCAAGCTGTTCCTGAATAAGCAATTCTGGGCTTCTAGCATGTGCTTCGGCATTAAGCAAGAGCAGTGACATTTTGCAGCATAACTAACATGCAAAAATCAAGGAATTTACCTCCACTTTGAATTATGCTGAATACTGTGTTACTAAATATGCATTACATCATTTAAAGTAATTTTGAATTTTGTTGAATATCTTTGGCAAACACTGGTAGTTTTTTTTCTTTTTGCCTTGCCATTAAGATACTTAGAATTATTTTGCATGTTTGTACCATTTTTTTTAAATTAACAATATAGAGGTATTCATTTGTAACCAGTGATTATTTTTTTATGAATTTGTTCCAGGTGCAGAGTTTCATGTATGTATTTACTTATTCTTATAGTTCATTGTTGTGTTTGAGTGCACATTTGCTGAAAATTATTTAGCATGTAAAAAGCAGGGTTTTGATATTTAAACAGCTTCATATTGAAGCTGATTTTACTCTAGGCAAGTTCAGTGACAGACCTGTTATGCGGCTGTGTCTTGTTATATACAACTACTGCCAGATTCTCAGTAAAGATACCATTTAAAAATTTTGTCTTTATATTTTTGTGCTACAGAATTGTAGGGTATTAACATAAATTGTCTAGGCTAATTTACTTGCATTAGCAGCTATTTCATAAACAAATAGAAAAATGTTGATAAAATAGCAAATACACACTCAAAATCCAAAAATAATCCTTAGGTTTTCTTCTTATAGATGAAGTTCTTTCTCTCTTTCAGTGAAATCCCTATTGCTGGTTCTGTTCTTGCCTTTCAAGAGTAGGAAAAAATGTGAATAAAGATCCACATATTACCCTAAGTACAAATGCTATGTACTAACAATGAAAAGTTTAATACTTTAAAGCCAAACATTTAATTACCCCAACATTTTAATATCTCCTGTTAAATGATTAATAATTTGCAATCCATAAACAAAAAGTGGTGAGGGAGACTGGGAAGGAGTAATATTTTACTAGTGTTCTGTCAAATACGTTTCTCTTCAAGCAGGTGATTGAAATGTTCTGGTTTTGTCTTAAAATGCAGACTCTCTATCACTGCTAATAATGTCTTAGAAATAAAATTATAGTCACCTAGGTTTGAAAACTGACAATTTCTACAATTATTAGGTCATTATTGGGAAAGAAGTCAAAGAATGGTAGAATGATCATTTTATTTCTCTTTTTTTTTTTTTAAATCACTGGTTTAAATCAGCTTTGAGGCTTTGAAAAACTATTGTGAAAATTGCGCTATTACAACTTTGAATTAATTACATTATAAATACTGCAAATGGAAAGATCATATTTGAATTTTACACAACTGCTAGAGGCAAAAAATATGTATCATTGAAAACAAGTGTGCAGATGCTACCAACACACAAGCAAATACATAATGTTACTCACACAAATAGTCTCATTTACTTAAGCTTCCTAGACGTGCTTTCAATACAGCATGGACAAAAATGTTTGCAGCATCAAGGTCTTATATTGTATATATTTCTTAAAAACATTTAGTGGCATAAAATTGTTGTCACTTCAAAACCAAATTGCTTTAGTATTTAACACTGAAAAACTCTGATTTTTTTTCGTCCATAAATAAATCTATTGTGAGCTACATGCACACACACAGATGTGTGTACACAATAATATGTGTGTGTATTAAAATATCCTCCCCGCCTCCCAAAACATAGGACCTAACATTTGGTTACTAAGAGTGAAATTTCTGATTTCTGTCTCATCTTTGCTCATTACATCAGGAGGGTCATGTTTGCAAAAACAGCCAAGACTACTTTTCTTTATTAATTTTGTGCTCAATTTTTGTTCTTCTCCCAGCCAGAATGCTAATGAGGCCAGCATAGATGAACATTTTAACTGAATTTTTAGCAGATAAAAAAAATCTGAAATTGTACTAGAAATTAGAAAAATAATTTAAGGGTCAAGACAAAAAGACTATAGAATAAAAGAAAGTAAAATGCTATGCTTGTTTAAAATATTTTAAAAGTGTGGTTTTTATCCAACTTGCTTCAAGAAGTAATAAGGTAGTAATTTATAAAGTATTTTAATAAATGGCTAGCTTTATGGGTTTCCAAAAATACTCTTAGAATTTTGAAACTAAATTATTGCCTTTGCTCAATTTTGTCCTTTTACATGTGATAAAGATGTGTTTTGTTCTGAACACGAATCTGTTGCCTTCTCATACACAGTAGCATTCTTGATGGCTCATTTCTAAAAAGACTCAGAGATCTCAACACTGGTTGAATCAGTACGTATTAAAAGTTCCTTATCTATTAAAGTAAATCCTTTTAAGTGTGGCTCTGGTAACAGTATTTTCAGTTAATGTATGCTGTTCCTGCTGTCTACCTGTGAAACAACATGAGGAATAAGTTCGTTATGCCCTGCATATTTTTTTTTCTTTGGAAAGAGGTATGGTTTGTCATGTTTAGGCCAGAAGGCAGAGCGGGGTCGTACTTTATAGATCAGGGATTCTCAACCTGGGTACCACAATACTCTGAGGTGCTGTGGAGTCCTTTTTAAGGGTGCTGTGAGGTATCATGTAACATCAGTACCATTAGGTGTGCAAACATGACTCAAAATAAACCAAGAGATTTCAAAAATAAATCCATAGCGTCAAAAACCTTCTTAGCTGTTGTGGTCTTTCTGAGTACTTTGCAACAGAAAAATTGTTCTATTTTTCTGTAGTCAAAATAAGTGAAAATGAAGAGGTGGCATTTTTCAAGGAGGGGCTTAACGAGGGATGCATTGAGTCTAAAAAGGTCAAACCACTACTATTATACGCTAACTTGTTCAGAGAGGTAGGAGCTTTTGTAGGTTACAGCCTACTTGGTAATTACTAGGTAAGTTAAGCGTATACATTTAAACAGGTTAAATGATTTTGTGACATCCCTGTGTGCCTAAACCAGCTTTCCCTTGTGTGTTCTTGGATGCTAAAATAAAAATGACCTGACTATCAGGGATGCTGAATACCTGTGTAAACACATCACCTGCTACAAGAAGTTGTAAGTGTACAGACTTCTGAAAATGTATATGGGTATTTTATATACCAAACCCTAGAGTGAAGAACTTCAAATCTGTAAGCTTACCAAGACATGATGAGAGTAGTCAGTGTGTCATATATACACCATGATTCTGCATTTTGAATGTGGGTGCCTGCCTTAGCAGAAGTCCCAGGCTATTACATTTTGAGAGTGTAGAATATTCTTTAAGCAGCCTAGTCATACTGTAATACAAGTGGGAATGACAAAAAGAGGAGGTGGATGCTAGTAGTTGATCTTAGAAAGAGCTAGGCTGTTCTTTTACTCCTGCTCCGTACTGAACTCCTTCGTTTTGGAAGAACTAGCGGGCTTGTGCCTGTTGGGTTGCCACCGCTGCTTGCCTCCTACTCAGGTTTGTGCCATATTTCAGCCAGAACCTTGATCGTGGCAAAGTATTTTATTCTCAAGCAGGCTGAGCTTGGTTGAGTTGGAGGTATTAAACCTGAAGGAAGGGCTTGTGAGCTACAGCTACTAATTTGCGGTGAAAACCTGGAAGACGAGAAGGGCAAGTACAGGCAAGTAACTGTCTGCAGCAGTAAATGAAGCCCGGAACTTGTCGTCGTCGTCGTCCCCGCCCCCTTTGCAGGGCTTAGTCTGGCGCCGGGGGTTGTCCCGGCTCGGATGTGTTCGGACTGTGCTGCCCGGGGCCGGGGAGTGGTGCACAGGGACGCGCAAGAGCGGGGCAGGGGGCGTTGAGGCTCAATAGGCCCCGGGACTCGGCCTGGAACCGGCGGGAGTCCGGCTGTGTCCACCTGCCCGCGGAGCCAAACTGCGCATGCTCAAGCTTCCGGCTATACAGCCACGTGGCCTCGGGCCCCTGCGCTTCTTGCTCGCTGATTGGC